CCGTAAATTTTTTAACTAAAAACCCTAAATTTCGTAGTGCCAAGAGGGGTGTGGCGAACTTTGTGGAAAAATGTCCAAACTGTCAGCAAGTGAAGGTCGAGCATCAAAGGCCCGGTGGGTTGGCACAAAATATAAAAATTCCAATGTGGAAGTGGGAAATGATCAATATGGATTTTGTGGTAGGGATATCGCACAAGTTTGACTCAATTTGGGTGATCGTGGATCGACTCACGAAATCAGCACACTTCTTACCAGTTAAATCCACCGACACCGCAAAACAATATGATCAATTGTATATCAAGAAAATAGTCAGGCTTCATGGCATTCCAGTCTCAATCATTTCAGATCGAGGGGCTCAGTTCACGGCCAATATTTGGAGGAAATTTCAGCAAAGGTTGGGTACTCAGGTGAATATTAGCACATTTTCCATCTACAGACCGACGGGCAAGCAGAGCGGACTATTCAGACGCTTGAAGACATGTTGCGTGCTTGTGTGCTTGACTTCAAGGGTAGCTGGGATGATCATTTGCTGCTGATAGAATTTGCTTATAATAACAACTTTCGTGCCAGTATTCAGATGGCGGCATTTGAGGCCTTGTATGATAGGAGATGTAGATCGCTGATTGGATGGTTCGATGTTGGAGAAGCTAAACTGATAGGGCCATACCTTGTGCATCAGGCTATGGAGAAGGTTAAGATCATAAAAGAGCGGTTGAAAAATGCCCAGAGTCGCCAGAAATCCTATTCGGATGTTCGTCGCAGAGACTTAGAGTTCAAAGAAGATGATTGGGTGTTCTTGAAGGTCTCCCCCATGAAGGGGATCATGCGGTTTGGAAAGAAAGGGAAATTGAGTGCGAGGTATGTCGGGCCGTATAGAGTCATTCAAAGGATCGGTCAGGTAGCGTACAAACTTGAGCTATCACCTGAGATGTTATTAGTACACCCGGTATTTCATGTGTCCATGTTGAAGAAGGTAGTTGGAGATCCGTCCGCTATTGTGCCGGTTGAGACCATCGAGGTTAATGAAGAATTTTCCTACGAAGAGATCCCAGTTGTCATCCTTGATAGGCAAGTTCGAAAGTTGAGAAATAAATAAATTGCCTTCGTGAAGGTATTATGGCGAAACCAGCAAGTTGAAGAAGCTACTTGGGAAGCCGAGGATGAAATGAAAAAGAAGTACCCTCAATTGTTCGAATAGCCATGTAATAGTTCTAGGAAGTTGTTCCCATAAATTTTGTATCACTTGTTCAGCTAATGTAAAGACATTCCTTTCTGGTTATATGTTCCTCATGAGGCCACGTTTGGTGTTGTTTGTGTTCTGTTGAGTCATTTGATCATATATATGTTGTTAAGATGTATTTTTGGGGCTCTCTGACGGGTGGATAGGTATGTTACAAAAGAAACTCTGGCAAAATTTTCAGAAAATTAGGAAGTTAGTCAAATTTGGGGCTGATGGTATGTGGTGTGAAAACTTAAAGCTGTATAAGCTGCTATTAAGTGAACCTTGATCCTCATTCGAGGATGAATAATCTTAAGTGGGGGAGGATGTAAGGCCCCTTAAAATTTTTAACTAAAAACCCGGAATTTCGTAGTGCCAAGTTAGATTAATGTGTCATAATAGTAGAAATTCTTCGTTCGGACTTTTTGGATTGAACAGTATGCTACAGACCTAAAGAAAAATATTTGTTGAAGAATGCATTTCTGCGGTCCATTATGCGGCCGCATAATCACTCTACAGACCGCATATTGGCCGTAGAGTGAGGCAGAAAATTTGGCCAATTTTGAGGTCAGTTATGCGGCCAATTATGCGATCGCATAATCGCTTTGCGGGCCGCATATTTGTCGCATAATCGTCTTGGGCTTTTGTGAAGGGAAGTTTTGCGGTGCATTATGGGATCGCAGAATAGGTATGCGGACCGCATAATGGTCGCATACCTGGGCAGAAAATTCAAGCCCCTGAGGGCTATTTTGCGGCCACTTTGCGGGCCGCATAACCATTATGCGGTCGCATATGCGACCGTAGATCTGTGTCGGAGCACCCATTTTCTTATTTTAAGAATTGACCCTATTCCGATAAAAACACATATTATACACCATTTTGAGCCATTTTTCTGATGTTCTAAGAGTGAGAAAGGGAATTCTTAGAGAGAGAGATCAACCTACACACTAAAACCCATCAAACCTTGCTAAAATCTTTGAAGATACTCAAGTGAGGCATCTAATTCTTCGTCGTAAGAGGTAAGGCTTCATCACCCCAACTCTTAATTTCACAATATAGCCATAATGGGCCATTAGGGGGATAATTCATGGGAATAAGGGTAATTACATTGCATGCATGTGTTCCTAGAAGCTGTGGGGGAATTATAAGCCAAAAATTAGAGAATTTTTAAGTAAAGATAGGAAATAATGGGGGAATAGGCTGGTAAAAATCTTTCATGAAAAGAACCATAAAACCTCAATAAACACATGGTGTCGATAGAGTGCTCAAATGAGCTATAATCTTGATCATCCTTCTAATTTTTGGTTCAACTTGTTGTATCCCTAAAATAGATTGAAGGTGCTAAGGGTTCCGGAACTTGTTGTAGAAATTAAGGAAAGCTCAATTGATGTATGTATGGCTAAACTCCCTTCTTCTTAGAACCGAACCTCCGGTGTTCGAGTATTTGGTGTAAGTTCCTAACTTGATCATGCTAGAATTGGATGCCCTAATATATGGTGTTGGAAGATTCATGTTCAATAATTGCTCTAAATGTTTATCACGGCGTCATACTATTTGAGAATGTGTTTGAAATGAGGAATCTGTGTCGATAAAGGTTAAGAATTCATGTCAAGAATCGAATAATGTTTGCTAAGCTAATTTGTATGAAAAGCCTCTGTATGATTATGATTTCCCTAGCTTTTTCCCTTATGTGTGCAATGCCTTATGTGTTAGGCCTTATTGATGCGATGAAAATATTATTTGAATGTACAAGAAGGGGAAATTGGAATTATAAGATATACAAAGTGCCAAGAATGACTTAATAAATGAGGCTACTCATGCCATGTAATGAAAGATGGGAAGGAAATGTGGGTCGCAATGAGCGATTGAAAGGATGATATCTCAGGTGAGATGGCCTAGCCGATCGGGCCGTGATCGGACGCCATGCCGCACACATGATGGTTATTATGCTGGATTGATTGATTGAAATTGTAGATATGGATGATGTCTCAAATGAGATGACCTAGCCGGTCGGGTCGAGATCGGACTCCGTGTTGGAACACGGTGGCATTGTGGATAGTGGCACATGGCACTAAGATTACCAACCTAATAAGATGGAAAATTGAACCGGAAACTATGTGATCCTTACTTGATGTTTTCGTATTTGTTTGAAGTTATTATTGTTTATCATGACTGCTTTCACTTCGTTTCATTGTTCATTCTATTAAGATTGGTATTTGGCTTTACATACTAGTACTATTCGACAGTACTAACGTCCCTTTTGCTGGGGGCGCTACATCTTTGAATGGATGTATGTGGTTCCATAGCAGACAGTGTCGATTGCAGCTAGCGGCGCATCCTCTTCTCAGTGACCTTGGTGAGCCCCCCTTTTCTTCCAGGGGACATGAAGTACATCTATGTTTATATGCTTACACGTTTTGAGGTATAGTCGGGGCCTTGTTGCCGGTATTATCATAACTGTCTTTTGTATCCTTAGATGCTCCGTAGACATTTACGTGGGTTATGTGGGGGTATTGGAATGGGTCGTTGAATTATGTTGTATTTCTTCTAAAACTCTTATTCCGCTAGTTTGTAAATTGTATGTATTTTGGAGACTTAACCATGATGTAATGAAAATGAAGCAAGGCAACTTGTAAGGTTATATATATATAATTCTTCCACTGCTTAACTAATGATAACGTGCCTTCTTTAATCACAAACGAGTCGGGAAGTAGTCATCTAATAGGCTTGCTCGACCGGGTTCACTCGGTTGAGCGCCGGTCGCGCTCCCCGAGGTTGGGGCATGACAGCCTCTCGGCTATGCGGGAGACAGTGACAAAGCTTACATCCGAGCTAGAAGTGGCCAAGGAAAGAGAAAGGCTTAGAGATGCTCAATTCCTTGGTATGTAAGATGAGATCAAAACTCTCCTTTCTACTGGAGCTTTTCCGTTACCCCGGTCTCGTGAGTCATCTCTAGAGGTCGACCTCCATGTGATTGTTCCTCCCATCCTCCTCGTGATCGTTCTTCCGTCTTCCCCGTGATCGTTCTTCCCGTCCTCCACAAGACCGTTCTCTATATCGTCTTGTAGATGAAAGTTCATCAGACGATGATGATGTTGTAGAAAACACCCCTTGACCAATTCTTTGGTATACTTTGAACTAGACTAATAGAACCAGCTTTGAATTAGATTGAACAATTTTGAACTTGTTGTAATTAGTTTTTGCTTTGTTTTGGATTGTGATGTTCAATTGAACTTTAATTTGTTAGTATTAAAGTATTAATTGGATGTTTGGTTGTTGTTGTTGTTGTTATTGTTATTTTTATTGGATTTTTGGTGAATTAGGGGGGTTGTATGTGGTGAATTAGTAGTTATTAGATGTGAATTTGGGGTATTGGTATGCTGTTTTTATTTGACAGGTGGTGTAGCTACCAAAACAGGTATTTTCTACCAAAATTAAACCCAGAAAAACGACCAACCTTGGTCGGTTACTAATAAAAAAAATTAAATTATACATTACCGACTAAAGTTGGTCGGTTAATGTACATGAATTCCCAGAAATTCAACATTACCGATCAAATTTGGTCGGTGTGCTTCCTGACCAGTCCAGTTTACCGACCAATTTTGGTCGGTATTTTTAAATTTTAATTATTTATAAAAAAAATATCTATGGTTATAAATGGTTAAAATTGCACTCAATTTTAATTTGTGGTCATGTGTTAAAGAGAAACTTTAAAGTGGCTATTTGTGGAAATGACCCCCTTTTGGTTACAGTAGACCCAATTGACCCGTCTCCTAACTCACCTCGGCGCTCGCACACCGAGAGAGCTTCAGAGATCAAAATTTTCGACTTCACTACTCACCATATAAATACAGTGAGACTGTACATTATAGAGATTAATCTAATAATCTCACCTTCACCTTCCTTGGTGAATACTCACAACATCTCTCTGCAATTCCTCTCGTAAAAATATGGCTCAGCCTCTCCTGAAGAAAGACGACGATCGCGATGACGAAGGTACGAATTTTTGAATTCTCAAGTTTTTACAGTCTTAACATATAATTAATTCACGTATTGCTGTTTTACGATGCTTTTAGATCTGCATTTTGTAGTTTCTTCTTAGTATTATGTGTTCCAGTGAATATTGAGTCTTATTGCTGTCAATCTGTTAGGATTTATGGATTGAAGTTTCCACCGCGATAGCATTTATATGGCGGCAAGTTTATGTTTGATCTTCTTTGAATTTTTCGGTGGTTGATGCGAATTGATCCGCTTCTTTTACGACTGTATATGTCCTTGCAGGCTTCCTATAGATCTGCATTGTGATTTAATGCTTCATTCACTTTATGTTTTCTGGATGAAAATGAGTCTGATTATAGTTGATCTGTTAGTAATCAGCTGCTGTTACTAGCCTTTTTACCTTTTTTCTTTCTGATAATCGTGTATCGTTGATTCAACGTGCAAATCAGTTGGAATTCAGCATTGAACGTTTTTTAATATTGGAATTAGATATGCCTGAATAGAGTGGAACGAACTGTGTAGATTCAAATGAACTGGCACCATAGGCCCATTGTAAACGAGTTGAAAGAAGCAATCCGTAGAAAATTTGGCACTGCTCACTAAATTTTGTAAATAATGGCATGTGGAGATCGGTTGTTGCTGTTTTGAGAAGAATCGACGGAATAACTTTTAGCATAAAAAAGTTCCTAGTATAAAGAAATTCAACGGAATGGATTCGGTGGTTCATATAGCTTAGGCGAACTGATATGGGATTGAGGCACAATTAAGTGATTGACGAGTTGAAAAGCTACTCATCTAACTTATTTAAGATTTGAGTGAAACAGACCTAATTTGATTCTTGAAAAGAGCATAGGACAGTGTTGATGAAGCCAATCGCTTTGTCGCTGCGAAGCGAAAGGTTATTGCTTCATAGCCATGTGCTTCATTGAAATATGCGCTTCAAACAACGACACGCACATCGATCCAAACATAAAAAAGGCCGGTTCTTTAAATCTTAACTTTGAGGAGTTGGACCGATCTCTGCATCATTGTATAATGGATGCTGAAGTTAATTATTTTTATTGTAATTTATTATTATAGTACCATAATTCATACTCCTCCCATTCTAGACTATGTGACATCATTTTCTTTTTTAGTTTGTTCCAAAAAGAATGACAACTTTCTAAATTTGGAATCAATCTAGCTTAAACTTCTTATTTTAATCTTAATGACAAGCTTTTATAGCTACACTAATGGTATGGCATGTTTAAGACTATAAGTTTCAAAGCATCCAAGGGTCTGGCCTAGTAGTCAATGAAGTGGGTGTGAACCATGCGGTCTCAGGTTCCAATCCCAGATGAGGCAAAAAAATTAGGTGATTTCTTCCAATCAGTCCAAGCCTTGATGGATAGAGTTACCCGGTACCTGTTGCTGGTGGGAGGTAGCAAGTATTCCGTGGAATTAGTCGAAGCGCGCACAAGCTGACCCGGACACCATGATTATCATAAAAAAAAAAGACCACGAGTCTCAAAAGGTTTATAGCAACACAAATATTATGGCATGCCTATAATCATAAGGTTCATAAGTCTTACTTTCTTTCTTAAAATACGTGCCTAGTCAAACTATGCTACATAAATTGAAATGGGGGGAGTATTTGTTTGGTGCTTTTAATTTTCTGTAAATTGTGTGCTTCACTTCAAAGAAACGTGCAGCGTGCTTTACTTTTTGCTTTTCGCTTAAAGCTTCATAGACCCTATTTCCAGTGTTATCAAAGGCGAAAAGCGTAAAAAAAACTCTAAGGTCTGTTGGGACTTTAAGCGCAAAGCGCAAATAAAGCGTGGGCTTTAATGAAGAAAGGCACTAATGGAGAAAACTACAAATATGTATGTGTAGTCCAAGACTAATATCTATAAGCATGAATACCAAATATATGGACAAAGAAATTGAAGAAAATTTGCGATAAAGTGAAATATCAATTGTTTAGTGTCGCCTCTTCAGGATTATGCTCACTGGCAAGGAAAAGTATGCCTTAGAGGCTTGATGAAAGCACTGAAGCATCCATTAAGTGAGACTAAGCGCTCAACACGTTTTGAGCCTTGCTTCAGGGCTTAAGCGCGCTTTAAGCACGCCTTCGATAACACTGCTTATTTCTTTTTGCGCTTTTTACTTCTAAAACTCACTGGCTTATGGATATATACCTCACTAGAGCCGAGTGGATAAAGATGATTAATATAGTAGAATCCAACTAATTCAGGATTGAGGTTTAGTTGGCTGATTGAGTTGAAATTGCTCATTTGTTGGTTTAGTGTGAAAACATTGGGGAAGCTAACTGTTTGTGGTTCATTTAATGTGTCATTTTCAAAACTCTCCAGAATAGTGCTTTTTGCTAGATCTATGTGATGTAGTCATTTGGCTAGTAGGAGGAACTTACTTTGTTTGTAGTCAAAGGGCATTTCATATTGGATTTATATAATAATGCAGCGGAGTACTCTCCGTTTATGGGGATTGAGAAGGGGGCTGTGCTTCAGGAAGCTAGGGTTTTCAATGATCCGCAATTGGATGCACGCAGGTGCTCACAGGTCTGTTCTATTGTTATCTTTGATTTCTGATTCTGCCGTGCAAATTATAACTCTTGTAGATTTTATGTCATGTCTGTTCTATTGTTATCTTTGTTTTCGGATTCTGCCATGCAAATTATAACTCTTGTAGATTTTATGTCATGTTAATTTACTTAGACTAACTTGTTAGCGCTTCCTTTATTTTCGGGGTTTTCCAGGTCATTACAAAGCTTCTGTATCTTTTGAATCAGGGTGAGACGTTTACAAAGGTTAGTTTCTAAGCTAGTTCTGTTTTTGCAGTGAAGCATCTATTCTCTTTTTCTCAATTATTTTCTTTTGATAAATTGTACATTAAATTGTTATTAGTAAGCAGAAAGAAAAAGAAGTATGTGACATCACAGCTCATGCTAGACCACCTTTTTTTTATGAGAATTAAGTCACCAAAGCAAGTTTCTAGATAGTTTAAGCTATCAAAGAATTAATGATTGAATGAAAGAAAAATCAATAGAAGAGGTGTGGCTAAGTAGAGAGCTGTAGAATTCATAAAACCGGAAAAGAGCCTTTACTTTTAAATAACTAGTTATTCTTCTTGTTGTGAGGGCCTCGCTTGAAATAAGCCTCTCTGCCCCGATCAGGTACCAGTTGCATTGCAGGTACACCTACTTATGTTCGGGGTCCCCCCCC